CCGTACCCACTGTATATATATATATATATATATAATAGTTTTTAATCCTATATATTATAAGATGAAATCCTCCCGGATCCTTAAAAATAAGATGAAAAACTTAAAAATTAGAAACGTTGCCTTTACAATTAACTTAAATTACTAAAAGACATAAAATTACTAAACTTAAACTAAAATGAAAACATTAATAAAAGCTCATTCAAAATATTAATAAGTACTATTATATAAATGATACTAACATTACAGTGCTCTACAGGTGCATATCAATAAATTAGAATGTCGTGGAAAAGTTCATTTATTTCAGTAATTCAACTCAGATGCACCTGTATATGTACATTCAAAAGGATGATATTTGGTTGGGTTGATGTATATTGATACAATTTCACTTAAATGCTTGCTGAAATATTGGATTATTATATGTTAGAACATATTAGAAATATTGCAATATTATTATTTATTAGAACATATTAGAAATACTACTACATCATGGCAACTTAAAGGAGCATAAGTCATTTGTTTTCCTTAGGGAGAAGAGGATGTTGAGAAATTTTAAAGTCTGTGACTAAAAGAGATGCAACCTGGGTGTCTTTTGCATGAAGTAAAGGCATACAGAATAAAGCAATAGTCTTTTGAGAAACAACAAAACTGTCCAGCAAACAAAAACTCTTCTGGCTAGAGCTAAACATGCATGAGATTATCAGTGTTGCAAAGAAAACCAAAGAATAGCCAGAAGAAAAGATGTAAAAAAAAAATTTTTTTTTAAAGAGTGTAAAGTATATAAATATTGTGGAGGAATTCGGCCACAGATCATGCCACAGAGGTTCATCTATGGGCAAGGTTTAAATTAGCCTCATTTGTGTCCATTCATGGATTTAATACTACACTGTCCGGCCAGTGCTCATGCCTATGGATATCTGGCTGCCTGGATTTAAGACTCTTGTATCACAGGCATCAGAGGAAAGACAGTGCCAGGATAACCTGTAGGCACTCACAGCGTTTAGCCTAATGTGGGCGAAACCTGTCTATTGTATTTTTATTTTCTCTGCAACTAGCTGTTCTGAAAAAAGGGTCAAGCTTCAGTGGTCTCTTCCAGTTTTGTGAGGGAGAGAAAAAGGTGCTTACTTTAATGCCAAAAAAAGAATGTAGATTTTGTGTCAGATTTTGTTTAAGGAAACTTTTATACAGGTACTTCTATTCAAGTAACTTTGTCATCTTGGGAAAAGATACAGTACATTGTGACAACTTATAAAAGTTTTCCATTCACAGATTAAACTTCGCCCAGGGCTAAAGGTCACTGTTGACATTGATTCTCCTCTGAATACCTTTTATAGTCCAGGAATCTGTTTCTTGGAAACAAAACCTTGGTATCAAGAGTAATGTTTTATAACATTTCTCCCTATTTCCTTTCTATATATGTCAGAATATTACATTTTTATATGTACGCACATATGGAGTGTATATCTATTCACATCATCATTATGTAACGATGTAAATATGCAATATAGACTGTGATGTCATCGATGCTAAAATTTGGTGCCACTTGTGCCAACGTCCAACTATATCATTTGTGGTATACCCTTTGCCTGTCTGTTATAAATGTGAGCAGTGTGCAAAAAAAAAAAAAAAAGGAAGAAGAAGAAAAGAAAAACGGCACAGGTTATTTCAGGAAGTCGTAGTCTCGGCTCCTCAGCGAAAAACTGATGTGCGTTTGCACGCGCTCTCCTTTTATACCCGCGCTGCGGGGCGGGGTGCGCGTGGCGAAACACGCACGCCAACTGTCATTGGCTTGTTTAGTTTACACTCGAAGGTGATTGGGCTCTCGGGCGAGATCCCAATTCGTCAGTCACGACTGACGTAACGTCTCCGTTCCCTCCTTCAGGGAACGAGGGTTACACAAGTAACCTAGACGTTCCCTGTAACATTTTCAGAAATGTTCAACTTTATGATGCCAAGACCAGGACAAGACCCAAGAAATAAACACGTTACAGCAAGCTTACAGTGGCTCCGTTCCAAAACCTAGTGAAATGCCTATACAGCCAGCATCCTAACCTCATAAATGGCCGATTTGGAATGCTTTTCAGGACAAAGAGCAGGACAAATGTCTCACGAAAAGCACTCCTTCAGCAGAGTACACAGAAACTATTGTTTTTAATAACTGCCTTTATCATGTTGATATGCTAACAACCATTTTTGTGTAAAATATGAAGTGTGTGTGTGTGTGTGTGTGTGTGTGTGTGTGTGTGTGTGTCTGTCTGTGTCTGTGTCTGTGTCTGTGTGTGTTAATTATATTACTTTTTATATTTATATTATATTTATTATTACTTTTCAGTATTTAATGAATTACATATTTCTGAGTTTTTCTCGGTTTGTGCAATATATATATATATACTTTTTTTTTTACTGAGCTCATTCTGGGATTCGAATTTGACCAAATCAATATAGTTTTGAAGACAGCATAATGTTGGAACATCCTATGTGTCAAAATAGAACCTATTCAGCTTTAAAATAGATCCTACACACGCTGCTCACTAGGCTTTGAAACAGAGCAAATACATTTGCTGTACACCATAACAAAAGCCCATGCCCTGATAGATTCCCATAAACACGGACTAATTATATGAGGTTGACATCAGGAACCTGATTCATTTGCTTTATGTTGTGCAATATCGAATGCTCATGAGGAAGTCGCTGTCTGTTTTGTTAAGAAATATTGTTATTGCTTCCTTACCTGTCCTGTCTGGCTTACCTGTTAGGACATACAGCTGTTGCAGACATCACATTCCTCACTTTCAGGACCAAACTGGATTGAAGTTGGTACGACAATCCAACAAGATCCTGATGGATATACATCATGCAGCTGTTTCAGAGTGGTGACAAAAGCTAGAGTGTTTATGCGATACACAAATTAGAGTCTATGATAGTGGGAATTTTTCATTATATCCTGCCTTTTGTTAGCGGTAAAGTAAAACAGATCTCAAAATAAAATTTAAGATTCCATTGCAAAAAATATTGTGAATATGAACTATGACCATTTGTTTCTAGCTTGTTTGTTTTACCTTTTTCTTAAAAAAAGAATAAATAACACAGATCTACAACACTTTCAAATCAAGTCCAGTTAGAGGCAAAGTTTTATAAAACTAAAGAGGAGGCTTGAAAAGGACCTGACAACCCATAAAACATGATTTAAGAGTAAACATCAAAAAGGAAAGAAAGACGGAGCGCTGAAATAAATGACAACACATGACTGAAGTGGTTTACAGAAGTGTATTGGTTAGGTTATGTACGGTAAGAGCAAGATGTAAATATTGCAAATGTTAACTATACCTTTAACATATTGACAAACTATAACAAACAGAATCTGAAAAAAGGTGGCCAAAGAAATGCTTACCAGTATCTAAATTAAAAGATTAAAGATCTTTCCTAAGTTTAATAATGATTTTTATATATATATATATATATATATCGCCTGCTGGCTCCTCTTGAATCTGTCAACAGACAGTGTGTATTGTGCAATACACAGTCACAAGTGTATATGTGATAGTGAGCAAGTGGGACTAGATTGAAAATGTGAGATGCACACCAGACATTTACTAGAATAAAAATAATTTCCTAAATAAGCACGAACAGCAAACAACAGGTTTTTTTTTTTTTTACATTACATTATCTCTGCGTCCGAAATCCGAATATGCATACTTGTAGCTATAGTATGCAAAAATCACCTGTTTTAGGACGTTCAAATACACTGTGTTCTTAAAACAACACCAAGATGATCTGCATGTATGTAAAAATGTTCTATGTTTAAGAAGAAATTCATCAAATTCATATTCTGAAAGTATGCTAATCACAACATATGATTTTATATTAGGAGCATGTCATTTGTTTGACTCTTCTCTGTGGGAGCTTAATCAATTGTATTGATTCATCAAATATCAATTGTATAATCAAGAAAGAACAAATGAAGACAGACCCAATTGGATTGACCAAAGACTAGTCTAACTTGCATTTTGAGTCTGTGTGAAAGTGTCAATGGCTTGTTCTTTATAAAAACTTTTGTTGATTGGAGAAGATGAAAGCATTTATATCCTACGTGTTAAAAGGGGGCCTTTAAGAAACCTTTAACACTTCAGTTCACTCGTATAATCCAATCAGACTGGCCTGAAGGGAATCGATACAAAACCTTTATTTTTAATCACATGGTGTTCCATAACCTGTCGGATTTCTACGAATAGTTCGTAAAAGCAGTACATTAGGAAAATATGTTAACAATCAATTCCCCAACCTCAGTTTTTAGCTACAATGCATCTGTAGAGGGCGATCGACTGCTTCTCCGTTGTGGGGAAGGATGCCTGTGTGCTGATTGGCTGTTGGAGCGTTGGGGGCGTGGTTTGAGCGGAGGTCTTTCCACAAAACCAAAATGCGACGCGAAGAAAGTTTCATTCAGTACTACTGACTAGAAAGATAAAAGATACGGATCTCTTGATTTATGGTCAATCTTAGTTCAAATACCACATTAACCAGCTCAAGAGCGGTTTATAGCTACACTGCTGTACGGAAACAGGGCTTTTGAAGAAACTTTACCTATAGCTGGTTAATTTCTTCATTTGGAATGAATCACAGAGACTCTATAATGGATCTGATGTGGCTTTTATACATCGCAGCGAATATCTGCGCTTTGCTCGCCTCTGCTGAGAGACACACTGTTTTCTGGAATAGTACCAACTCTAAGTAAGTAAATTATGTATTTATATATTTATTTTTACCACTCTTTTCTTTTCCTTTAAATGTAATATTTTGATAATGATTATAATAATTTACGCTGAAACGCTGCTAGTTATAGTAGCTTTTTGCAAACTCCAGCGTCATATAGCTTTTTTCAGGGTTGAAGTAAATTATATTACAACTTTTTTTTCTTTTTGTGTGAATGTATCTTAATACGCGTTTTATGGTCAGTGCGTTTGCAAGGTCTAGCGGAGTTGGAGACTCGTGCTTGTTTACATTGTAGATGTGTGTTTTTGACTTTGTAATGTTGTTACATCTTTACCTGTAACAGATTGCATAATTCAGGCACTCTTATTGCGTCATAATCTGCCTACTACCCATCACCGAAATGTTTGTTTACCTGTAGGCTACATGTGATGCGCAAATCTGCTTCTTTCTAAGAAGAAGTGATGCTTGCTGGGTGTGTGCTGACTATGCTCGTTCTCGTGCATATCTTAACAGCAATAGTAGTAGCCAATTAAATGACCATATTCATGTAATGTAAACTCAACAGCGGTCTTACCATATGGTGCTGTTTAATTCATGGTGGGAAAACCCAAAAGATTGAACAGAAAAATAGGAGGAAACTGACTGGGCCGTTTTGCTCTTTTGACGTGTAGCCTATGAGTCAGTGAGGTGTTGAAATAGGTGTTGAATGTCGAGTGACTTTTCCGACTGATACGCGCAGAGCAGATGACTGGATTGCAAAACTCAAATTGCCGATACGAGGTAGACGCGAACGAATCAATTTTGGATCTTTATAAGGATTCGATTGAACCGATTCACCGAGCGTTTGGGATTGACTGAAAGGAAGAACTTTTTCAGAGGTGCTATCATTTTTTCGAGCATATAGGAAATGTTATATGGCAAAACATAAACTGTAGTGCATTTAACTACATACAGGAGTATTCAACTATAAAATAAAAAAAAATAGTAATTAAAAAAAAAAATTGTGAGTGGATATCTGAGAATAGTTTTGAGTGATAATACTATAAATAATTTAATGAAATAATAACATAAAAATATATTGAATAAATAATAAAATAAAATAAAGTACTATTTTGCTAAACTTGCTAAACTTGACAAATAAGGGGTGGGATCATACATACAGAGTTACAGATTTTGTCATCTCTGATCATTGGTGTTAACGTTCCAAGACCCCAAAGGCAGTGAGACTGAATTAGTGTAAACAGAGAAACACTGATAACAGACTGAAACCTGATGAATTATAGTGTCTGCCCCACACTCTCTAATACGCACACACACACACACACACACACACTTAACCCATCGACTCTTAAAACAATTAGTGTTTTCTCCAGCAGATGTAATGATTACATCAATGTTTAAACAACAGTGAGCATTTTAGCGCCTGTGTAATCCACATTTTTATTCCATATCATAATCTTACTATCTTTCTCTCTCTCTCTCTGTCATCTAATCCTGTTTTCATAGAAATACTAGAGGGGCTGGAGAGATGCTTTTTTCCTGCATGTCTTTCTTTCTGCATCCCATCAGTACCCCAAAACTCTCTGACCTCCTTACATTTTTGTTTCTTCTCTGCTTGTCCGTGATCACCCCATTGTGTTACTGTTTCACCCTGTAAAAAGGCCTTTTGGTTTAATTCAGCCAGAAATAGGGCTTTCTTGGTTTTCTACCCAAAATGTCCCATTCACTCATGTTTTTTTTCTTGCGGGGAACAGGGCTTTTTTTTTTTTTGCTTGTGGGGTTTTGCCAGCTAAGTGCTTTTTTGTTATATGTTCCAGCCAAATTAGCACGCTCCCACCGCAGATCTGCAGTGGAACAAAACCAGGGGCTAGTGTGACCAATTGCAGGCCAGAGTTCACAGCCGAAATGAAGTGTCATTCATGCGGTGTGTCTGTCACTGTGCGTGTCTGTAAATGTGTGCGGAGAGGAGAAGTGGAGATAGAAACCGGTGATAAAGTGCCGTTTTGCTTTTGTCTACATGTCACTTAGCATTAAACTCATCAGATCTGTGTGTGTGCGTGTTCGCTGACAGTGAGAGAGTGAGTGATGAAGTGCCATTCACTCTCTGTAGTCTGTCACTCTCTCTGGTGGTCTTCAAATAGGGAGGCCACCACTCGAGCCCACCTCTCTCCCGATCTCCTGTCTGGCTTCTCCCTCATTCCCTCTACCTTTTATCTCAGCCATACACGCCAACGCTTTTCATCCTTTGATTCAGTTCCTGTCCTTATTTCCTTTCCCTCTGTGAAAGAAGGAAGAAAAAGAGGTGTTGAATTTTTTTCTTTGGCTTTCTTTATCGGGTTTGGCAGCCATAACCACCAGAGCCTCTCTCCTTCCCCTTTTCTCCTCCCTTTCACCTTCTCCATGCCTATTCCGTCCATTCCCTGAGTCTGAATTCTGGCGATATCTGCAGAATCCAAATGGCCGTCATTCACAAAGCTCTACAGATTCCCGCCCATTGGGTGTTTGTTTTTCGGCTGGTTTAGTATACATTTCCATTTAAAGGGTTAGTGCTCCCAAAAAAGAAAATTGCCATCATTTACTCACCCTCATGTCGTTCCAAATTCATAAGATTTCCATTCATCTTTGAAACAGAAATGAAGATCAAGCAAGTTCCATATTTGATGAGCTCTTTGATGTACGTCACTCAATGTTTATATATATATGAATAAAAGACTAAATGAAATCTGTTCATCATATAAAGTGCTCAAACAAACAGCTTGATTAATATAGATTAGGTTTACTTTTTATGAACTTTTTGAAGAGTCAAAGTGTTGGGTAAATCGACTTTAAATTGAGGGACATAAATCTCTCGTATTCCATTAAAAATATCTTCATTCTTGTTTTGAACATGAACCAAAGTCTTATGGATTTGGAACGACATGAACAACATTTTGGGTGGACTATCTCTTTAACACATTTTTAAGATATATAAAGCCATTCCGCAGAATTGACTTCTTCATTGCCTCCATCCCTTTTCCAGATTGTAATCAGCTTTTAATCTTTCGTCTTCTGAATTGAATTTGGCTCTTTTTTGCCGATTGCTGACCAATGATAATCTTCTCCAGCAGTCCTTATTCATTTAAGCTCCTACATACAGTCCCTATCGGCCTGAAGTGTTTTCTTTATATAATGTGCAAAATATGTGATATTTGTCAAGTCCTGAGAGATTTACCATATTGTGATTTTCAGACATTTACATTTACATTTAGTCATTTAGCAGACGCTTTTAACCAAAGCGACTTACAAATGAGGACAGGGACAACAGAGACATGAGTGAGCAAGTGAACTCTGGCCAAAGGTTGAGGAGATGGCCTTTTCCCTCGTCAAGCGTGAGTTTCCTGGCCAAGTGTTCTCCCGGGAAAACAGCACATCCTGCGCGTACAATAAACAATACCTTTCTCAAACACTTGCGAACGCAAGTGGCCCACTTCTTACACAAGTCTCAGATACACACTTCCTTGTATGCACGCATACTCTGTGAATTATTATTCACACGAGTTAAAGGGCTTGAGAAAGCGATCGTTTTGTCTGCTGCTCAATATAGGGGGGAAAACACATGCCTATAAATGCGTCTCGCATTTGTCACTCATTGCTTTCTCACGCACTTTGTTTCAAAGACGATTTGTTCATTACACCTCCTTCAGAATTCCCAGAATTGTTCCTTCTTCTGATGGTCATTCCTTTTCCTCCCTTTCACCTCATTTTTGAACATCTTTGATTTATCTTTCATGTTTAATCAGTTCCTCTCATATTTAAGACCACAGATCCATTTAACAGCGCTTTACAATCACACGCTAAGTATTTGTCAGGGATGTGCTGTTAAGTTTGTGTCAGTGTATTTAATGTCTTAGGATCTTGTTGTCACAATCTCAACCCCATGTGGTCTTGTCTCCACACTCTTGTTGTTTGTACTGTTCTTGAATGGACTGGTTTTTAAGATGAAGGTCCATTCCCACGGCACATTGCACAAATTTTATTACGGCACGGTGCGAGAGGCCACTCTCCCTGCAGGATGGCTAATTCCTAAAGAATGCAAGGAACTACTGAGGTCATTTTCATAGTGATATGAGTCACCTTGTGTACTTCTCATTTTCCTTCACACTGAGTGCTCCCATTTTTCTAATTATTTATGTAATTCATTTATCTATGAGAGGACATCAGAGCTGAGCAGAGCCAGTTGGTACAGTTTACTGGTTAGATCTGTAATTATGTGTGACAGATCGGACAAATAAGGAATTAGATGGCTAATTCCTTAGTCAGCTTTTAAGACTCTGTACGAATTAAGAGTTTACAAATGTAGCTCTTGATATTATATACAGCTTAGATTGTAAGGTTATACTTGGTTTAAAAAATAGCGAAAGATATTTGCTGTAAATTATAGGGACACTGCATTGCATTGCATTTCTGAGTAGATCTTTATCACATGCTACCATGTCTTCGCAAAAGAGGAAATAGTTCAGTCATTTGAGAAAGCAAATCTGACAACTTGATCAATGGTGCTGAGAGACAAAAGATTGAGCAATTTGAAGGGAAAGAAAAAGACTGATGACGATAAAATGCTTAGATTGAAAAAACCCCGGTGTAGAATATTTTCTCGAATGGGGGAACCTGTCGGATTTGGTTGCCATGGCAATCGCAAAGGGCCAGAGTTAGTGTCCACAAACGTAGGTCACTAACCAACATAACTCGAATTCCAGCGAGCCGCTCTCTGATTGGTCGAGAATGCCTGGGGGCGGGGTCACTGGGAGAATGAATGGGGGATCAAACAGGCTTATTGAGCGCTGAGAGACGAACCGAGAGAGTGGACAGAGATGGATGGATTGAAGAAAAGATGAAAGAGCGAGTCTGGTCTGAGTCAGGGCGAGGACAAGCGCAAGAGCGGCCCGTTCTGGTTAATCAAAGGATTCTTTGCTTTTTTCCATTCTTCACATTCTCTATCTCTCTTACACCTGCACAGTACAAAGCAGGTTTTTTTTTGT